CCAGATACAATGTGGAGAAAATGACGTTTGCTGATCTGAGGTTGACTGCCGTTGCCCTGGCGAAATTACCCTTTCTGCATGACCGACTCGAGTGGTGGTTCGTGGATGAGCTGTGAGTTCCATCGTGGATCAATGATTTCGAATTGTGATGCATTTTATTTCGCATCAATTCGGTCAGGTTCAATCGTTTGAGTGAGAAGATACCACACGTGAAGGACCCGAGGATGCTGCTCTGCATTCTGTAAGTGTGATTCATCGTAGACTCTTGGTGTAGTGGGGGAGCGCTGGTTTTGATATCTGATGGTCGTCGTTCTAGCCCGGGTGTCGTCATATGCGTTTTGATATTCCTACTCCAAAACGTGATTGGGAATGTTGTCCTCTTTGCTCAGACACGCTGGTGCTGAATTGAGAGTTCCTCCTTCCCACTCGTGTCTGCTCGCCATCATACCACAAATCCGCCTACTCTTGCTCTCGAGAGTGCCGACCACTGTTAAGGATGACTTCAATTCTCTGGATGCTTGCTACACCCTTGGGTGAACGACGCACCCTTGGATCGTTTTTTCTTGACTGTTGAATGTGAGTATTTTAGATATCTCAATTTGACCGAGCTATTGACCTTACACGTACAGAGGAACCTTCGCACGATCGAGAGCTTGGATGAGCTACTATCACTGGGCAGAACGATAAAAGAAAACGGCGCTGAGAATATAGAAACCTGGATACCTTGGTGACTCTGGGTATCATATTATGCCGAGATTGGTTTCACATGATGGGCTCGTTTGAATGGTTTCAATCGGGCGTTTCTCATGTACGACTCTTCGTGTGATTCAGTGCGATGTTGTGGATGAGCGACTAAGGGCGATTCGTGACGATGAGCTTTACATGCAAATGCCATCATCTCGGAAAGTATCTGCCGCTCATTGTTAGTTACGAAACAGTTCACTACTGGCTCAGGTCAGAGACGCCTTGAAGATCTTTAAGGCGCTGAGGAGGAGTCCTCGGCACCTCAATGGGGTGGAGGCGAGACGGGAAAAGAGTCGAGCGATGGACAGTGTATTGGAGTCGGACAACATGTGCGAATAATACGTTTCTGATGTTACTTTTTATCATCGAGTTGAATCGGGAGTTCACTACACTCGAATCGGTATGTGGAAAGAACGCTACCATGAAATCTGAACAATGCTCGACATAGCACCGTGCTATGTCGAGCAATGTTCGACTAGTCACTGACTAGTCGAATTTTATTTGTTGTTATCAACAGCTCTGGTGGCTCAATTGGACAGAGCGTTGGACTTCTAATCCAAAGGTTGCGGGTTCAAGTCCCGCCCAGAGTAAATCTACTCTTTTCAGCTACAATTTTTATCATTCGAGGGACTCTTTGTGATTGGAACATCGCGGAAAATCGGTGGCAGAGTAACACAACACTAATAGAGAAGGAAATGTATTTATTGTAGTTACCATATTTGTCCGGTTTTAATAACCTATCTCCCCTCGTTTACTACCGTTTTAGTGGGGGCTTGATTCTCCTCTACTACTTCTTTTCCCACCAACATCATGTTAACCCGACCGTCCGATTCGATGAGGGACAACTACTGCGGTATCGCATGAAAAACGATACCACTGAGTAGTAGTAACACGAATTGATTCTTAGCCGTAATTGTATATATAATACATTTTATGATTCCTATCATAATCTAATTGCTTTAGCTTTGGAATTATTATTATTCAAATGTCGTCTACAGCCGCCGCCCCTTCCTCTACTGTCAACCCGATGCAGTTGTCCCTGCCGGAGTTGAATCAACATAAACAGAAATTAGAACAAGTAGTGATGATCCGCATCAGTGTTGGAGTATGAATATATGTTCGCTTTCCTCATCAGCTTAGCTCAGGAGTTTCCTATACAGTGTTGGAGTATGAATATATGTTCGCTTTCCTCACCAGCTGAGCTCAGGAGTTTCCTATACAGTGTTGGAGTATGAATATATGTTCGCTTTCCTCACCAGCTGAGCTCAGGAGTTTCCTATACAGTGTTGGAGTATGAATATATGTTCGCTTTCCTCACCAGCTGAGCTCAGGAGTTTCCTATACAGTGTTGGAGTATGAATATATGTTCGTTTTCCTCACCAGCTGAGCTCAGGAGTTTCCTATACAGTGTTGGAGTATGAATATATGTTCGTTTTCCTCAGCAGCTGAGCTCAGGAGTTTCCTATACAGTGTTGGAGTATGAATATATGTTCGTTTTCCTCAGCAGCTGAGCTCAGGAGTTTCCTATACAGTGTTGGAGTATGAATATATGTTCGTTTTCCTCAGCAGCTGAGCTCAGGAGTTTCCTATACAGTGTTGGAGTATGAATATATGTTCGTTTTCCTCAGCAGCTGAGCTCAGGAGTTTCCTATACAGTGTTGGAGTATGAATATATGTTCGCTTTCCTCG